CTTGATCTAAATGCACCTACTGGCCTAAAAAAAAAAAAAAAAAAAAAAAAGACACCTCATAAGCAACAGCAAGTATACACTTTGAAACAAATTATCTCTTTCTCTCCTTAACACTGATCCTTATCTACTGAGGTCAGAAAAGTTAGTCTGAAAACAACTCTTTTCACAGTCAAGCAGTTTGCATGTTAGCATTGAGTAAGCATTTTTACACATTGAATTCTACTGAAGCTAAAAACAGATCTCATTTTCACTTCCCCAGTGGTCTACAGGATTTAAATTATTACAATTCTATTTCTCTTACAATAAAATGAAGGCACTGTTGCACTTGCTGCTATACCACTTACAAAACTTTACAGTTAAGAAGAGAGATGAATATTTCTTAATGCTGCTGGTTACAGAGCATTTAAAATTCAGTTATACACAGCAGAGGTATCACCAGTACCTTTTCAGTTCATCCTGATCAGAAACAAGTCAAGTCCTGGGCACAGCAAACAAAATACCTAGACTTTGGAGGGCTTTATAAGCGTGGCCTATCTAATCCCCCATTTCCCAAGCAATTCCAGGTAAGTTTCCACCCCACAAAGTGCCAAACCCTTATCCCTTTGTAGGTGTGAGAAGGCATATTCCTTCCTCATCACAATTTCATTTATTTTGATAAGAGTGCACAGAAGTTGGCAGGCCATGGCTGTGACTCATTCCTGCAGCTCACCAGCTCCGTAGCACCACAGCACACCCTGTGACCGGCTGTTCGGATTGCAGCCATCATGTTGGGTGCTTGAGGAGACATAGGGCAAGAAACAAGGAAAGAGAGAGCGGACAAGATGCGGGGAGGAGAGGTGCAGTGCTCTGATCCTGTCTTGGGGAACAAAGGGAAATATATTGTAAAGCGTAATTAAAGCAAAAGGTGTAGGGCAAAAAAGAACAGAAGAGACCTCGGGAATGATAAAATATGGCAAACAGAAACCTGCCACAGGTGCACATGCACAAATGCAGCCTCGGAAATACACAAGAGGAACTGGAGCTGCCTTTGCAATCACAAAGCCACCAGTCATGGAGCCAGTGACATAGGTGACATGGGTGTGTTGCAGAGCCCCCCGATCAGGGTAAGGGAGGTGATGAAGTCTTCTTTAAACAAATCAAGGAAGCCTCTGGATCACAGACCCTGTTTCTTGTGCAGGACTTCAGTGTTCATGACGTCTGCTGGAAATGCAACACAGGAGGTAGCAGCAGTCAACAAGAGTCCTGGAGGGTGTCAGGAAGAACTTTCTGATACAAGTACTGAATGGGCCAATGAAGTAGCACTCAGCTAGATCTGCTGTTCACTGATAAAGAGGAGCTGGCTAGGGATGCATATTCAGTGGCAGCTTTGGCTGTACTGACTATGAGGTAGTGGAGCTCAAGATCCTAAAAGGGGTGAGGAAGGAGAGTAGCAGTACAGACCATGGACTTCAGGTGGTCAGACTTCTGTTTATTCAGGAAAGTGGTGGGTGGGATCCTATGGGAGGAAGCTCTGAAGTGAAAAGGAGCTCAGGGAACCTGCAGGCCTCTAAGGACAGCAACCTCCATGTACAAGAAAAGACCATCCCTGTTCTCAAGAAAACAAGTAGACATACCAAGACACCAGCTAACCAGGGAAGCAACAATGCAAAAAGGCAGCATGGAGGAGTTTGCAGCAGGGACAGGTTACAAAGGAGGAATTTAGAAATTTTGCCTGGCCATATAAGCATGATGTCAGGAAAACCAAAGCTCACCTAGAGTTCATGCTTGTAAAGAACATCAAGAACAACATGCCACACCATTAACAGTAAATGTTGAGTAAGAAAAAGGTAGGTGCTTTGTTGAATGGAGCGAGTGATCCAGTGACAGCAGATGTGGATAAGGCTGAGGTACACAATGCTTTCTTTGTTTCATTCTTCACTAATTAGGTCTCCCTCTCCGCCATGCTTAGTAAATGAATTCAAGGAGGAGACCTGTCAGGAGCAGGTGAGACTAAGGCATGGATTACTTGAGACAACATGTCCCACAAGAGTCCATGGGACCCAAAGGGCTGCACCCAAGGCTGCTGATAGAGGCAGCTACCACTCTTGAAGATCCACTTCCTATCCTCTTCGAAAGGTCATGGCAATGAAGAGAGGTTCCCAAGAACTGAAGAAAGTCAAATGTTGCGACCATCTTCAAATGATGTCACAAGGACAAAAGGTCAGCCCCTCTTCGGTCCCTGGGAAAATAATGGAGACAATCCGCTAGGAAAGGAGAAAAAGGTGAATGGAAACAATCAGTGTGAGTTTACCAAGAATAAATCATGCCTGAGAAACGTGGTTATCTTCTTTGATAAAATGACTAGATTAGTGGACAAGGAAAGAGTAGTCATTTGCCTTTAAAAATTAAGGAATAAATGAAATGTTGAAGTTTTAATCATAGTCCTTTATGAGGCTGAGGGAGAAATCTATGTGGTCTCTGCTTTCTTCCTTCCTGTGGAGGAAAACCGTAGCCTAACATAAAGGAGACAGATGTTATGAGGCTCATTAGGGTTAAATACTCATTCTAGAAATAAACAAACAAACAAACAAACAAAAGATAACACAATTTCTGCCAACGTGTATGCTTTATTTGGGGCAGGGGAGGTTAAGATCTGGGACGGTCAAATCAGACAAACACTGTTGTGGTTTGAGTTGAACCTCGCACAGTCATACGCCTACTGTCACCATGTATTTACAAGACCTATTGGACGTCTTCAAATACAGAAGAAAATTCAAGGACATGAAATAGTGAAATGGACAAGTGAGTGGATAGAGAGACTTGGCTTAGAAATCACTCTGGCAATTAAAGTTAATTTCTGTCAGTGCATGAAAGGTATGCCCAAGAACAAATGCTGAAGAAGTATCTTACCATAACCCTGCAATATTTCCAATAGGGAGAAGACTTAGGATGCCACCTTGACCAAGACAGCTTTAATGCTGTGAGCACAGCAACTAAGTGCTTACCTTACCCTGGGAGCACTAAGCAAAATTTTCAACAGTTAGAAAAATACAACAAATTCTTCAAATATACAGGAGTGGTGTGACAAAAGAGTTTGAACACTGTGTGTGTAATATAGAACATCAAAACCATTGATCTCTAGTAGCTTCACTACTCTATGTGGCTTCAAATCTGCTGCACATTGTACTCCCTGACAAACTAGTTTTCCAGTACTTCAAAATGTGGATACGGTTTACCTAGTCAATAATTAATTTTGTAGGCCATTTTTCCAAAGTAAACAACACATTCTTTAATCACAAAATGCAAACTGAATTTTTATACTAAAAGCATAGGGATAGAAAAGTAAACAACTCAAATACTTTCCCATTTTGGGCCTACCTACAGTTTCTCTGTTTAACAGATGTTTATTTAGTACACCAGCTATTCTATAAATGTTTTAAATATGTGTGTGTGTTTGGGTTTTTTTAAGCCTCACAGAAAAACAAACCCCACAAAATCTATGCCAGCACCTTAGCTCATGACAGTGAAAACAGCTGTGCTGAATCGATGATCTCCTGAAGCTGTCTCTCTCTTAGCGATCAGGCTCACAACCCATAACACTATCCATGTGAGGCAAAGCAGCAGAACAAGAAAGAATGGTGAAAGATAATCTTCCACCAGTGAGAAAACTGACAGAAGTCGTCTTTGGTTCCAGACCTCTAAACAGAAGAGCATTTTAGCTCCTCAAAGCCATCAGCTTTTGTGCTATGATTAAGCTGCTTACACGCATTTGAATTGTGCTTGCAAAAGTCTGCTTTTGCAACACTTCTACTTCTTCAAATTAGATAAAAAATACTATTTAAATTGACTATTGTTCTTCATTGTTCTCTGCTTCAGATTTCTCTTTCCATATTTTGTACATTTCTATCTACAAAGAGGAAAGATTATATATAAGGAGAGGAATAAAAATTAACCGTGACTTACCCATCCATGAAGGCCTTCTGGGTGAGTTGCAACACCCAACACAAGGTAAGAAAGTTTGGCACACGGAATGGGTTATAATAAAGCTCCATCGCCTTCTCCAACGTATTTACCCACTCCTTTCAGTACTGCATATTCAACTGCTTTGTTTATTAACAGCTGCTTAAGACACCTCTGTGTCAGCTTTCAGACCTCTCTGAATCCCATTCTCAAGCTGTGAAAATGGCCCTTGTTCAGTGATAGAAAAAATCCAGTTTGATACTGGTTCAGTGGCCGAGAAAATCCATATAATGTCACAGTAACAGGGCACAAAGAACCGATCCAGTATAAAAATCACTCTGTCAGTTCAAATTTGTTCCAGACGTTTTGACGGAATATCTTTGCACTTGCAAAGCTTTACACCCAAGAGGGTATTGTCTATTCTTGCACAGCCAGCCAAAATCATCAATCCAGTATGTATTGCTTGCTCTGCTAATTCAACAGGAACATGATCATGTGCCCAAGCCTGGCCTATTTTTTAGGTAATCAAAAAGCGCACAAATCTGACACCAAATATCATTTAAGCATGACCAAAGAGGCAGCCACTGTCAGGAGAAAAGACAGTACTGGTGAAAAGAGTGACAACGCCTGTGACAATTTTGATAACCAATGTCAGAATTCCATTATCGTGGCAACTTTCGTTCTCTGAAAATCATCCAGAATTACTAATTTACATGTACTGTGTCCTGCAACAACAGGTATGGACTATATTAAAATTAGAAAAGTACAGATATGCCAGATTAGGCAGTCCATTCACTTGCATATTGCTCACGGTGGGAATTACAATGATTACAGGGCACTATCTAGTCTTCATAACAGTTTTTAAAATGAAATTATACTGCTCCTGAGAGTATTTATATAAGCTTTCAAAAACGTAGCAGAACTGCTTCTTCACTGATAGCTTTAGGCTCACAAATAGGACATAAATTTTAACTCAACCCATACACAAACAGGTATCTCCCTTACATGAACCTATATGGAGACATCGATGGAAAAGTTCTTTCATAGTACAAGCTCTATTAAAAAAAAAAAAAAAAAAAAAAAAGTACCTCAAACCCACAAATGAAGAAGGACATCCAGCAAAACTTGTTTTTCTTTTCAATGAGCTAGATGGTGGCATCACACTAGCAAAAACAAAAACAAGATCCTGAAAACTAGCAAAATCATGGCAAATACATACCTCTCCTGCATTCTTCACCAATGCCATTAGTAAAAGTTTTTGTCTATTTCAGTTGAAGATACATATGCAAAAATAGCACTAAATAAGAGAGGAACCTTATCTGTGAGTCATTTTTCAACCCTCTAAAGAGATAGTGTGTTATGTGATCTCAATGTTGCAAACTTTTTGGGACATAATATTTTCATGAATGCCATTCGAAACCTCATATGACAGAGAGGGTAAAGAAATGGGTTCAGTGACGAATTGATCCACAAAAGCCAAAAGGTTATTTCATACAAGGAATTGTGGATGCACTTTCCTTTGCAGGCCCCACGAATAATCATTAGTAAAGTGTATGGGGCCCAGCAAATGGCAAAGACACACACAATTATGGCAAGTGACTTCGCTATTTTCTTGTCCCGATGCAGTTTTGACCCAGTCCTTGAAGGGAAAGAAACAGAAAAGTCCCTTTTGAGAGCCGTGGTACTGATTTGTGTTGGAGATGGACAGTTAGCCATGACTGCGGGTCTACCTGATCCTGTTAATGATGAAACACTGTCCTCTGCTGTCGATGGAGGAGAAGATGCTCCTGGCCTTGGCAAGAAGCAAAACCTCCAGGACAGGCTGCCGCTCCTTGGAGGCTCGCAGTCCTGCGTGCTGCCACGCCGCTGGCGCCTCTGGATGTTGTGGAAGATGTGCACATTGAAGTAGGTCACCGAGAGCAGCGGCACGAAGAACTCCAGGGTGGACGCGCACAGGAGGAAGTACCAGTTGTTGAAGAACTCGGCGTAGCACTGGTCTGCTTCTACCACGCTGTGTCCGGCCACGTGCTCCCAAAAGAGGATTGCTGGGCAGTAGAGGATGAAGGCAAAGACCCAGATGGCCACCATCTTGACGACAGGGTTGGATGTTACTCCTTGCTGGGCTCTGTAAGATACCTGCAAGGGGAAAGGACGTCATGTATTCAGGCAACATTTTGGAACCACTATTTCAAAAAAACACAAGCAAGCAAGTCAAATACAATATTTGTTCTGTAATTCTCCAGACACCTAGAACATCTTCACTTATGTAAGGTTCTGAAAAACCCTGTTAGTCTTGCTCATCAATTACTGCAGTCTGTGATTGATTTTAATATTTAGGATTGGAGAGGAATAGAAATTATGATGGCTAAACTAACGTTTGGCTCCCAGGTGTGAAAAGACATGACTTGTTTTCATCACCACCCCAGTAAGGTAGCAATAAAGAATTGGGCTCAGAGGAGAATGAAAGCAGCTGTGGGACTCCTTTCCTGCACACACAAAAGTAGAAGCCTTCTGTATTAGACAGGTTGTAATGTGAGACTGTAAACACTAGACAATGTAATTTTTAATACTGTTTCCTCTTGCAATAGCAGAAAAAAAATATCCAGCACATATGTTTTAACATCCCTTTGTTGAAACATTCTGGTTTAACACTCACTTTACCTTGTAAACAGCTCGTTGTATTACTGCAAATCTTGAAGTTTTTATGCCTACCCAGACTGCATTAATTTATTTTACTCTCTAGCCATAAATATCTGTCTTTGAAAAAAATATTAAGAATTAAAATCATGTCATCCAAAGTTAGGAAATACGAGCATTAAAAGCACCCTTGTAATAGCCCAGCTAGTATGTACAATACATACTTCTAGCTTTTGGTCCCCTGCATCTTTCAGAGCACAAGATGATCAGTTAATGAGAAGATGGATAATTTTATTTCCTCTACCCTGTTTAACATTTGTCATCCCAGGCTCTACTCAAACCCAGAACTACTGCCTTCGTCATCAGCTTCCTATGCTGTTTGTTAGCATAGCACCTGTGTGCCATATAAACAGTAATGAACGGTATCTTCACAGGCTCATACAACACAAGGAGCATTGTCTCTATTTTACCAGTGAGTAACAGAGCAGTAGTGCAGTGTTACACACATTATTTTAGATTCTCTGTTTTAAACATCTGTAGCCTGCAGATTCAGACTCTTCTACATCTTAAAGCATCATATTGGCTCAGAGCACAGCTCCAGTTCTTCAATAATGAATTTGCAGCCCTTTACAGGACCATAAGCATCCCAGTTTAATAGGCAGAAAACAAGAAGCTCAGCATATCTTCACAAATAGTTAAGTCTGTAATGACTGGCCCCTGGCCATAAACTAGGTTTGCAGCAGAGGTGGATCCCAGGTCCATGAGGAAGCATGATATCTTTTCTTTGGATAGCAGCCCTATGTTACACACTCCTGGACTCACTCCATCCTAATTACCTGAAGGAGGAAAACAGAATATGATCATGTAAACAAAGACCATCAATGGTGTGTAAGAACATGGAGATCAGTCGGGTTTCAGAAGCCTTTTTAATTTACATTTTTCAAATTCTGAGCTCTGCAACTTCATTAATAATTTTCAATATTACTATTTCTTAACTGCAGGGATTTAAAAATTTTATTGTTCAGCTTTTAAAATAAAAGTAGCAACAACCAACCCTAAAACAACAATAATGGGGAAGAAGAGAAAGAGATTAGACATTGTATCAGTACTTCCCAAATGCAAACCTCCCAATCTAACACAGCCCATGTCATTCAAGCTAGCAAACTCATCAAAAGCAAAGGATGTTGATCATCTTCCATCTGGACCACACACCAGGTAGAAATAGTGAATGATAATATTTACCACTGCATTCCTCAGATATCTTCTGAAGCAGAAGAATTATAATACTCAAGAAACACCTCTTACTTCTGTGCATATTTTGATTCCTTCTTTTTTTTTTTGCTTCAAGTGATTAGTTTCCATGAAACTGCTTGTTGGCAGAACATGTCAGTCATCCCCTGCAGTAACGCAAATCCTCACCTGATCTTCAGTCAGTCCATACGACATCTCTCTTCCTACCCTCTTCTTTTAAAACCTATCCCAAGCCTAAGCATATTGTTGACTCAACCTAGTTTTTGCTACCACTCTTTTAATGACCAAAGCCAAAGTCCTACACACTTCTGCTGCTCCTTTTCTATCTTGACCTTCCCACGTCCTCTGTAGTGTAATTAAATAATTTCTAATCCAGGCAGCAGGAGAGAAGCATTGAAATCATAGGCAGGGCATTGTGCTATCTCTAAGTCCCAATGCAACACTGAAACATCAACGTTTCTCCAGAAAAAAAAACAGTACAGTAATGAAGGACTGTCTAGCTTCTAGTGTTAATTGTGAACACTGAGTTTTATATAAATATATATATATATATAAAAAGTAATAAATAGAAATATTCTTACAGCTTTTGTAACTGACAGGAAACGGTCGTAGCTGATAAGGACAATGCTAAACACTGAAGCTGTGCACAGGAGATAGTCCATAATTAGCCAGAGCTTGCAGACACCTCTTCCCAAGTGCCAAGTCCCTGTCAGGGCATAAGGGATGTAGAGAGGCATACAGAATGCACCTATGGAAATAAACAAAATGCACATTCAGTGCTTGTAAAAGCATAGAAACATTTCTGCAGTATCTGATAAAAGCACAATACTGACTGGAATCGCCATGTGGAAAGTTGTATATTCTCATGCAACCAATGAACACTTTACTACAAACTAGGCACCAGTAACATTATTATAATTAATATCTTTCTGAAGAATGTATCATGTTTATTGTGCGTCATTATTACTTCTGTTTATATCACCTGCTAAAGGAAGGAGCAGCTGACCTTTTTTACCTGCTGAAGTAAACACTATTCCATATTAACTACTGAAATGAAAACAAACAAAAAACTTATTTACCACCACCACATAATTTACTAACTGTTTTCTACAATAAATTATCTAATTGCCATGCTTTTGTCCTCTTAGAAACATGCATGATATGGTGACTGAAAGAGCTCCAGAAGTAGCTTTTATAGAAATATAATATGAATTTCAAACTAATCTTTAAAACTATATGCTCAAAAGGCTGACAAAAACTTCACAGTTAATTAAGTACACCCAGTCTAACACTTCTTGTCATCACAATTCCTGATCATAACCACTTTTCAGCGGGGAGCTGATAGGGTATTATCTATGGGAACACACCAAGTGGTGGGAACATACATGAGTGACCTGCAACCCATGGGTATCTAAATTTAGGCTGTTTAATCCAAATGTTGTGAAAGTGCTGATATGATCTCATTTTATTGAATTTCTAGGTGATCACACTACACACACAGTCACAGTGCAGCTTTGCAAGGCTGAAGAGCTAACAGTGTAGTTTGCCATGTTGCAGAAATGCAGCGAACAGCATCAATGCTGCAATGAATTGGAATCACTGCATCTACAGAGTAACTAACACTTGTCCTTTTGAGCAAAATATTATATTATAGATTTTAACATTCACGGGGGGAAAAAAGGTTATTTTTTCAACTTTAGATTACTTCATAATGGTGTGTACTCCTGTGACAGGTACTGAAGAGTATTTTGAGAGTTTCCATTTCCCTAAAAATCTTACAATTCCTGTTATTCTCCCTCTACTAAGTATCAAGATTTTTTCTCTGTTCAGAAGAACAGAGATAAAGCAAAAGTTGTTGAAGGTCAAAATCAGATAGATTAAATATATTAAAGGAATAAGCAAAGGGCTCTGCAAGCATGAAAGTGTGTGCTTTTAGCAATTAGGATCAAGCAGAAATTAAGGATAATTTAGGTACACCCTGAATCTAAATTATGTAGCTACAGAAATACAAATTAGTTTGACTCTAAATTATGTAAAGCTTTTAACCAGGTTTAGAAAAACACCCTAGACATTCAGGTAAACATAATATCACAAAACAAGTATTTATAGAAGTAATACCAAGTAAACTACTTCCTTCCTTGATAGAAGTCATTATTTACTTCGTACTTCTCAGCTAGATGCTGGCATTTGTTCAATATGCTGCTAGGTTGTGAGCCAGATAACAAAACACCACTCTGTCTATTGTTGTTCTGTTCATTGCTGTGTTTTTTTCCTGTGTACTGTAGCTGGACAACAGGCAGTAAGGGCTCTGCAGCACCAGGCAATTATAAGCTGGAAGACGTCAAGCGTATGGTGGAAGGGATCAAAACATTATACAAGGAGTGGAAGGGATCAAAACATTATACAAGGAGATCTGGACATCACAAAGACTCAACTATTAGAAGACATGCCCCTAACAGAACTTCTGACACTGGCAATAATTTTTAAGAAAAGTTTCTTCCATTCTTTCAGTATCCTCTGTAAATATGTAGGCAAGATAGTAGAATAAAAACCATTTAGAAAGATTTTGTTGTGCTGTCACAAGTCAGAATATAGATTTAATGAAATAGCCACACATGTTTAAAACCATCCTTCTGCATACCAAATAATTTAACCAATACTTTTACCAGAGACACTCAATATTTCACAGAATATCACAGTACATTAATCCCCAGTTCCATATCACACTAGGATTTTAATTGTTCTTCTTCTGAGTACAAGTTTCAAAATAAAATATCTCCCTATGTATAAGTATACGTGTATAACATCAAACTTCTTAGAAATAGATTTGTTATTTTTAATTACCTATACAAACACATATTACTAAAATATGGTTCTAGATAAAGCAGGTGCAGCAAAATGTTTTAAAATACTATTCATCACTCTTCAGTTGCAAACTTCAGATGATTATCTGTATTGTGTGAGAGTAGATTGAAACAGAAGATATCAACCATGTACGCAAGATCTGCCAGATAATATATGCTGTATTCAATTCGACTATCTAGACTTCAGCCAAGACTCTTCACAGACAACACCCATTCTTCTTATTCCACATAGATTCACCCACAGTAGTATTTTTTTTCCTGAAGCAATAACATTAAACATTACCTGCTTACTGGACAAAGGATCCATTTCTTTCTGAAAAATAATAGGCTGCTAAAATTCTTCATGTGGCTTCCACCATTCCTTACCCCTCCCCTAGACAAACATCTGGAAAGAGTTCTCTTAGAAGAAATCACCCAGAAAATAAGCCCCATTGTGTCTCCTAAGACTCCTAAGAAGCAAATAGCACATGCCTCCATGGTTGTGACTTACCCACTGCAAAGTCAGAAATAGCAAGATTGAGAAAGAAGTAGTTACTCCGATGCCTGAGGTTTCTGTCCATGATGAAAGCAAGGATCACCAGGACGTTTCCGAGGATGGTGACCAGGGCTAGCAACACCATGAGGAAAGCCAGCAGCACCAACACGCCCAGTGAAAACTCGGAGCTTGGTGACTGCGTGGGCAGCGTCTCATTACACGTTCCAGCTGTCTGTGGAGTTTCTGCAGTGCTGCTGTGCATGTTGTGCATCCAGGTCAGTTCAGTCTGGGAAGAAAGTCGCATCTGGCAGAGTTATCCAAAAGGTTTAGATTCATAAGGAATATAAACAGGATGGGCCAAAAAAGCCAATAAACATAAAAAAAAAAAAAAATTACTCAGGAAGGGAAAACTTAAAAGGTTCTGATGCTAGATAAATCTAGTTTTCCCAGGATTTTTAAAACCATGTATATCTCTTGAAGAGTTACCAGTAAGAAATACACAGTTTTTCCAAGCTCATATTTTAAAATGCAAGTTCTTCTTTATGCAACCTGATCCTTATCTGTGGAGGTCAAGAGGGCTGATTTGAGATTCTCTCATGCTTTCCTTCCTTCCTCCCTGCTTTCCTCTCTCATTCCCTCCCTTGCAGAACCATTTTTCTTTCTAGCATTATGGACAACAATTTTTTCTGGAATTTTTTATTAATCTTGGGTACATATCCTTGTGGGAATTTAAACAACTTTCTAATTTCCTCCTTGTTTATATAGTGTCATTGTATTTTAGCAAGTCTGTGGTGTCCCACTATTGTGTTATATCTTTTTGTTGACTGGTCATCTTCATTGTTGCTGTTATTGTTCCTCTTTCTGTGGACCCTAGGGCTGAAAACTCATATGCTGTAAATAAGCATATATACAATCACTTAGCAGAGCAGTTAACAAATAATGGTCCAACCCTCAGAGGTCAGTTGCAAAACTCCCACTGAAATCAGTTTCAAAACTTAGCAGCAGCCCCAGCAACACAGCACTGGCTGCTGCCATCCCAGAACCCAGGAAAGAAATACTGACTCCCTGAAAGAGAGCTTGGCAGTTAACTTTACTATGACAAGGCTTTTCTTTCCACACTGGTGGGAGAAATTGTGTGTCTTCCACAAGTGTTTATATTTTGTATGAGTAATGAAGCCACTTGCAGAGAGCTGTGAGTATTCCATAGTTGTAAAAATGCAATAATTTTTATTATGGGTTCTAAAAACACTTTGATGTCTAATTTTAGATACTTAAATTTGAAAAATGTTGGCTGTCATGTCTGTGCTTCTGTTGTGGGAACAAATTCATTAGAACTTACCAAGTCCTTTTACTACATGTTTGAATGGCAGCAGTACAAAAAATGCAAAACTTTATTATCCATACAAATATCTTCACAGCATGTCTGTCCATTACTGCTTTAAGCTCTATTTCATTTCCAGGTAATGCTTGAAATTTATAAAACACACTTTGGCAATGACTACTAAGTAATACTACTAGACTTACTTCTGCTAGCAATACTGAAGTTGATCTACCTGAAGTTTTTGACACTCAAGATATTTATGTCGTTGAAAAGCAAATAAAGTGGTGAACAAATGTGATGTCAAATTAAGGGTTCATAGAAGCCTGTATTCTCTCAGTTGCCTGTAGCCTAAGGAAGCATGTAAGAACATGGCAAAATACAGTGCGGGTGTGCTTACCATGCTTCCAGTGATTTGTGGCTCAAGGTGCCAATATGGTACCAGAAGTGACATTTGATCATTTTATTTTCACCATTTCTTCTAAACAGTCACCTTCTTACCCCAAGAATTTCTGCTTCTGCATTTTATTGATAATAAAAGGCATCACAGGGTTCCTATATGTCTCCAAGGAGGGTAACAGTCCTTCTGTGATTGCTTTCCTGCATTCAAAGTAAAATTGCCATGGTAAATTTCCATGGATACTGCCACATCATGGATCCTACATAAACCTTTACCATGTCCCAGTTATACTTTTTCTTTCCTTATACAAAATGCAACCAGTCCTTTTTGACTGATCACACCTAATCATGGGAGCAGCAGCTCATTCCTGTGCATTCAGAGACAATCCCTTGGTAAGAAGCACTGAAACAAGGGCAGCTCGTACACACACAGTACTACCTGCTGCACACTTGCATCAGTGGGTGCTCAGAAACTGCACTGAATCGCATATCCTAGAGGAAAGTATGTAAAAGGTTTTCTTCTTTTAGACATGGGGCTGCTTGCCCTCAGTCAGGAAGGAGTCCTGGGACAGGTTTCCCCTTCCCAGTAACGCTTCCCCCTTTTCAACTGCGGAAGAGGGGAGAAGACCCAAGCTCTTAAGTATTCTTTTCTATTGGAAACTTTTGGATATAGTTTTGATTCCTAACTTGGCCCTGAAATGGCCAGAAGTGCCAGCTTGAGCTGGCAGGCTTTCTACAGACTGGTATCTATGATCAATCAATGCACAGCCACCAGTTTCAGAAGAAAATGATTTGTTACAATCTCCCATGAGGAGACCCACGAGGATTAAAAGGCTGCAAAAATCTTATAAAAGCATAAAAAAAAATCATAGATCCAAACTGTGTTCTGAAAGAATATAATTTTATAAAAAACGCACAAGTGGGCATGCCATGAGGCTGAAAGCCACTGTTTGTAACAATTGCAGTTAAAACTCGATCCTCTTACTAGCAAAGCCCTTACTCAAGTTTTTTCCATTTTTTTTCTTCAGTGAGAACTTGTGCTAAAATAAATAAAGCTACAGTGGCAGTTCAGTAACTGATGTAATTTGCAACTACTGTGCCTTAGAATGGTGCCATTACAGCTCTTTTTAAAAGTGAGTACAATGTTTTGGACCCCTTCCTTCTCTCTCAAACTGCATTACAAAGTATAAATAGAAAGGTTCTCATTGTATCTTAATCCAAAATCTTCAGTGCTGAGGAACTGAATAAGAACAAATTATCATGGTTTTAGTACATATATATATAACAGCTGTGCTATACCTTGTTAAGGTAAGATAGCAGAATCTAAACAATTCAGCTAAGAAATACAGTATCACTTTGAATTCCCTGCTTTTCTTTGACATTTTTATTTATTACTGCAAGAATTAAGACATCAGCTTAAGTATAATAAAGTTTAGCAGTCCTAGTGTCCCTTGGGAACCTGGAAATTCTGGGCTCCACTTCTGGTCCAAGTGTAACCTTCTAGTCCCCTGTAACTTTTCAGTCTGTTAATTGATCTCTTTGGTTCAGTTTCCTCTACTCTAAGAGGAAGGTAATGCTTAGCGAGCTTCTCAAAATTTGAGGGAAATTCTGCATCTTGTAATAAAGCATGACAACGGAAGAGAGTGAAAGATACACTCTCCAAAACACCTTTAGTCAATTAGCTAAGATCCCTTATTTGGGAAGCAAGGAAGCCAGATTTCACAGCCTCCAAAATCAAGTTGAAAACAGGATTCATCCTAGCTGAGCACTCTGCCCATATATTCTTCAGTCTCAAGAGGAGACTCAGCAGCTTCACTGTTTTTCATGAGAAACAGCTGACCTTGTCAAATGACTTATTCCTAAAGTGCTTTCTAGGAGTATATAGATACCTAATTCTTTTCCATCTCACTCCCTCAACATTTCTTCTTGGAATTAGCTTAGATCTAATTGGTGTCTTGAAATCTTAGGTATCTAACTCTTCCGCACCATGCTTGGAAAGCCTGTGTGCAGCAGGGCACCTAAAAACATGGATGTTACATTTATGTGCCTTGTGAATGTACCTCCGACATCATAGACCTATTTTGCACAAGTCATGATGCCATGTTACTAATCTGTTCACATCCAGAAGATAATCAACACCAGTCAGTAAGTTCTTTTAAAACATTAGCAGTGTAAGTAAAGTTTAATAGAAGATCCACCACATAGGCTTCTAGCAGAATTTTATTGTGTGGCTATAACTATGATTAAACCAGTCTAGAACATGTCTAGCTAGAAAAATATCTGAAGTAGATAATAAAATGCTGATTTTCTAGTGGCACCAGGGCAGTATATGAACTGTTCAGGGATAACACTATAAAAAGATATGGACTTTTTATTCAAATAGACATGCTAGACAATAAACACAAAGCACAGATTAATACATGAAAAGAATTCACAAGGAAATGTTCCAGCTTCCTCTTCCATTCCTTCTTCTCCAGATGTTAAACAAGAACACATACTAAACAGTAAAAGTACCATCCTGAATTACCTGCTTATTCAAGTGTTTGGACTTTTCAGTATCAAGAAATTACAAACAGTCCATAATTGCTATGCTGCAATTAGAGAGACAATTATCGTCACTTTTAAAAGTTAAGGGCAGTAGATTTTAAAAACAAGCTACTTTTCCATATTTCAGCATATAATACTTCCAGATATATGGTAGGACATTTAGATTAAATGTTCTGTCTCATCACCACTTTGTGAAGAAAAGCTTTTAAGATTGACAGGAGTTCTTTTTTTCTATTACTCAACTGTCTTGAATTCACTAAGGTTCTTCCTTCTGAAGTCTGTTTTACAGAGAAACCACCTGAGAGTTCTTTAGAAGATACTTTACTAATAAAATACCCTGATCAGAGACCAGACAAACTCCAGCTCTTAGTCCAGTCACTTAAATTTGAGCAACAAAGAAGAACAACTCATTCCAATACTACCTTGTAGGAGACAGCAGTCCTGTAATGGCTAATCTGGTTTCAGTCATACTCCTGATTTGTTACCAAAAGAGCAAAACAAAAACAATGAAAGAAAGAGGTAAGAAAACAGAATGGCAAAAAAGACCAAATAGAAGTCACAATCCAACTTTTTCTGTTAGTGTCTGATTCTTCACGGACATATTTTTATGACAGGCAACTGTACTCTAGGTATAAATTAATGCTATAATCCTTTTCTTATTTTTTTTTCAGATGACATTTGTGACTTCCCCAAACAGGGTCTATCTATACATCTTATACTGTCTTAAATGAATTTACAATATTTGATAACAAAAACTGTTACAACTGCTTCAGTTTAACATTATATATTCTGTCAGGACATTATTTTTAAAGTTAAAGTTGAAGCCAGCCAGCTGCTTGTAAATGTAGACTGACACGTTTTCTTTCTCAGGTTCTCGGGAACCTCTGCTCTTCACTAACAGAAACAAAATGTTTTATAGCCCAGTTTGTAAATAATTTAGGTTTTTGTTTTCCTTGTTAACAAGACAAATGCATGAAAGACAATGATGAAAATGTAACAATCAAAATATATTCCATCTGCCTGTTGCTACTCTGCTCTAC